CCATTTACCACTGCAACAAAAAGAATAAAATATCTAGGAATAAACCTACCTAAGGAGACAAAAGACCTGTATGCAGAAAATTATAAGACACTGATGAAAGAAATTAAGGATGATACAAATAGATGGAGAGATATACCATGTTCTTGGATTAGAAGAATCAACATTGTGAAAATGACTCTACTACCCAAAGCAATCTACAGATTCAATGCAATCCCTATCAAACTACTACTGGCATTTTTCACAGAACTAGAACAAAAAAAATTTACAATTTGTATGGAAACACAAAACACCTCAAATAGCCAAAGCAATCTTGAGAACGAAATACGGAGCTGGAGGAATCAGGCTCCCTGACTTCAGACTATACTACAAAGCTACAGTAATCAAGACAGTATGGTACTGGCACAAAAACAGAAAGATAGATCAATGGAACAGGATAGAAAGCCCAGAGATAAACCCACACACGTATGGTCACCTTATCTTTGATAAAGGAGGCAGGAGTGTACAGTGGAGAAAGGACAGCCTCTTCAATAAGTGCTGCTCAGAAAACTGTACAGGTACATGTAAAAGTATGAGATTAGATCACACCCTAACACCATACACAAAATAAGCTCAAAATGGATTAAAGACCTAAATGTAAGGACAGAAACTATCAAACTCTTAGAGGAAAACATAGGCAGAACACTCTATGACATAAATCACAGCAAGATCCTTTTTGACCCACCTCCTAGAGAAATGGAAATAAAAACAAAAATAAACAAATGCGACCTAATGAAACATCAAAGCTTTTGCACAGCAAAGGAAACCATAAACAAGACCAAAAGACAACCCTCAGAATGGGAGAAAATATTTGCAAATGAAGCAACTGACAAAAGGATTAATCTCGAAAATTTACAAGCAGTAGCTCAATAACAAATAAACAAACAACCCAATCCAAAAATGGGCAGCAGACCTAAACAGACATTTCTCCAAAGAAGATATACAGATTCCCAAGAAACAGATGAAAGAACGCTCAACATCATTAATCATTAGAGTAATGCGAATAAAAACTACAATGAGATATCATCTCACACCATCAGAATGGCCATCATCAAAAATTCTAGAAACAGTAAATGCTGGAGAGGGTGTGGAGAAAAGGGAACACTCTTGCACTGCTGGTGGGAATGTGAATTGGTAGAGCCACTATGGAGAACAGTATGGAGGTTCCTTAAAAAACTACAAATAGAACTACCACATGACCCAGCAATCTCACTACTGGGCATATACCCTGAGAAAACCATAATTCAAAAAGAGTCATGTACCAAAATGTTCACTGCAGCTCTATTTACAATAGCTAAGAGATGGAAACAACCTAAGTGTCCATCATCGGATGAATGGATAAAGAAGATGTGGCACATACATACAATGGAATATTACTCAGCCATAAAAAGAAATGAAATTGAGTAATTTGTAGTGAGGTGGATGGACCTAGAGTCTGTCATACAGAGTGAAGTAAGTCAGAAAGAGAAAGACAAATACCATATGCTAACACATATATATGGAATCTAAGAAAAAAAAAATGTCATGAAGAACCTAGGGGTAAGATGGGAATAAAGACACAGACCTACTAGAGAATGCACTTGAGGATATGGGGAGGGGGAAGGGTAAGCTGTGACAAAGTGAGAAAGTGGCATGGACATATATACACTACCAAATGTAAAATAGCTAGCTAGTGGGAAGCAGCCGCATAGCACAGGGAGATCAGCTCGGTGCTTTGTGACCACCTGGATGGGTAGGATAGGGAGGGTAGAAGGGAGGGAGATGCTAGAGGGAAGAGATATGGGAACATATATATAACTGATTCATTTTGTTATAAAGCAGAAACTAACACACCATTGTGGAGCAATTATACTCCAATAAAGATGTAAAAAAAAAATATGTCTAATCCACATTTAAAAAAAGAAAAAAAAAAAGATCCCCTGAAAAATCTCAATCTGCATTCCCTCTGTTAGACCCCCAGAGGGATCTCCTCAATGCATGCCCAGGAGCCAACTTCTCCTTCTGTTCCTACCAGGGAGCTAAGTCCTTTTTTTAAAACAATTAATTAATTTATTTATTTATTTTTGGCTGCATTGGGTCTTCACTGCTGCACGCGGGCTTTTCTCCAGTTGCGGCGAGTGGGGGCTCCTCTTTGTTGTGGTGCGCAGGCTTCTCATTGCACTGGCTTCTTTTACTGTGGAACACAGGCTGTAGGCACGCAGGCTTCAGTAGTTGTGGCGCACGGGCTTAGTTGCTCCGCAGCACGTGGGATCTTCCCAGACCAGGGATCGAACCCGTGTCCCGTGCATCGGCAGGCAGATTCTTAACCACTGCGCCACCAGGGAAGTCCCAGGAGCTAAGTCCTTACCAAAGTCAACTAGGGACATTTCCAAGTTGTACTTATTTTAATTATCTAATTTAACTAAACTTTACATAAATGATCGAAACACGAATGTAGAAAAGGCAGATACTGTTTCTATGACAATTAAGTTAGATACTTTAGGAAAGTCTAAATAAAGGCAATTAACTTTTACAAATTATCATCAAACCAATGAACTGAGTAAACAATAAAAGATGGGGGAGGAGACACCAAGAATCACAAAATCTAGAGGTCTGCTCTCAGACTTGGCCCTGGAAACTGTAGTGCAATTATGTGTCACATGAGTACCATCTCTGTAAGAGGGAAACAGGACTCCAACCAAAGAAGCCAACTCAAACCAAAGACCTCAAGCCCACAACAAGAGACAGCTGAACAAATGTCCACTAACGTGGGAAAATTAAAACAGAATACTTATAGTGTGTACACAGCACTCTGTACACTTTTAAATTGGCTGCCCGGCCACCAGTCCCCAATCACATTAAAGAGAAGGCCTTTAACCTTCTCTGCATGACCAGGGCCTCTATGGACACTGCAAGGCAGTGTGTCATGAAGCTGGCAAAGCACCGGAGTATCTTAGACAGGCTGACTGAAGAGCTCCTGTCTGGTTACCAGCACGATGCTGCAGTGGGACGACCACTACTGAGCAGCCCTTCCACAGCAAGCACACTGCTAGCTGGTCACAGCGCAAATGCCGAATGCCAATGGACTGCACTCAGCCCTCAGCAGCAAGTATTCTGAGGTGGCCCCAAGCATGCTGTCTCTTTCTTCATCATGAAAGTCAAAGGCAAGGATGGAATCCTATGTACAGAAATTCCCTTCACAAGCACAAGCACAGAACTTCTGCTTTTCTACAGAATTAGAAACAGCTGGGATTATCCCAGTCTGTGGCCTAGGGGCTGAATGAAAGACTGGTTCTCATCAGACGATTAGGCTAGGGCTTAAAAACTGACCACCAACCCCAAAATAAATGGGGAAAAAAAATAATTCATACAAGGGAAAATCTAATTTGTAAATAATTGTACAATGTTTATCTTTGCCAGTCATCATAAAAATGTAAACTAAAGCAACCTGACTCCATGTTAAGACCTTATCAAAACTTTCAGGGCTTCCCTGGTGGCGCAATGGTTGAGAGTCCGCCTGCCGATGCAGGGGACGTGCGTTCGTGCCCCGGTCTGGGAAGATCCCACATGCCGTAGAGCGGCTAGGCCCATGAGCCATGGCCACTGAGCCTGCGCGTCCAGAGCCTGTGCTCCGCAATGGGAGAGGCACAACAGTGAGAGGCCCACGTACCACAAAAAAAAAAAAAAATACTTAAGAAGATTATGTAGCACTCTGGACAAAATACATAAAATTTTATTGATAAAATGAGAATAGAATGCAAAAAGTAATGTAAGATAACAAAGATGAAACAATTATTTTACATGGGGAAAATAATTCAAACAAAAATAGTTGTGCTAGGATTAGAGGATAGACAAATAGTTCATTTTTCAGCATCATTATTTTATCAGTTTTCAACTTGACATGAAAAAAAAAAATCAAGCAAGGCAGAATCCTTCAGTCTATGCTAGATGAGTGCACTGCATCAGATTCCAGACACAGATAACAGGAGAAACTCTCTTGTATTAGGTGCTAACGCATGAGAAACCAAAGTAACCACCACTAACCAAAAGGACACTTTGAGTCTGGGGCCGGCCAAATCCAGAGACCCTGTGGCAGTCCCCTTGGCTTCTCTGCAGCATTAATATCAGCAACCACTCACCCTTCTGGTAACACACTCTCCTTCTACTGCTTCTGCATTAAGGCACTGTGCTAGGTTTGCTCACAGCCACTTAGAGTTCTGATCTCTTGGAAAGCTCTGGGCTCCCATTCCAGTCTATTCACCAACTCACTCTCCTGTGTGTTGCTCTGACATCCCATACCCACTGTGACCCACCCCTGCCTGACTTCACCTGCTCATTGGGGTCTGGGTGTGGCCTCACTCTTCAGGCCATCAGGCACGTAGCTCTGGTCCCTCTTGCCCTGGTTGTAGGCGCCAGCATATTCCTGCATCTCCACCCTGTAGACTTCCCCTGCCCATGCTGCACCTAGGACTTGATGCCTCCTACACAGGCCAGTCATTCATACCTAACAACTTGTTTCAGGTGAGGTGAAGATGAAAGGAACCCATTAAAAGCCCAGAATAAACATAAGCCCTCCGAGGCCTCTACTTCACCTGCAAAATGGAACATCACACCTAAGTAGTGATAATTTTTGAAGGATATTACCATAAGGAAAAAAAAAGAGAAAGATTACCTTTTATCCCTTAAAATGGACCTCTTAGTTAGGTTGCTTCTTAATGTAAATGAATTTCAGTAAATACAAGTTCTCTTCTTGGGGATGAATCTGGATACAACAGTGAAGTTTTAAAAATCAAGCCCACTCTAACTTTTGTGAAGCAGTGTGAAGATACATAATGCTTTTTTTTTTTTTAAAGTAGTGGAGTGATTTCTAGTCTAACCAGAAGAAACATAGCTCATCTTAAATTGAGAAATAAAAATTCTGTAGGCTTTATTGATCTACTCACTAAATGAAGAGAAACAAGGAATGAAAGGCTGGCATAAGTTACCTGCATATGGGTACTGGTAGGGTACAGCATAAGCCTGCCCATTTGCAGCATAGACAACTTGAGTTCCTGGCGGGTATGCACCACTGTATGGACCATAGCCGTATGCCTGCTGAAAAGATATAGGCCCATTAGAAATACAATTTTGAAATTTCAACATCCATTTATAATAAAAACTCTCAACAAAGTGGGTATAAAGAGAACATACCTCAATATAATAAAAGCTGTATATGACAAGCCCATAGCTAGCATCATACTCAATGGTGAAAAACTGAAAGCATTTCCTCTAAGATCAGGAACAAGACAAGGATGTCCACTCTCACCACTATTATTCAACATACTATTGGAAGGCCTAGCCAGAGCAATTAGACAAGGAAATAAAAGGCATCCAAACTGGAAAGGAGAAAGTAAAACTGTCACTACTTGCAGATGACAGAATATTATATATAGAAAACCCTAAAGGCTCCACCAAAAAACTGTAAGAATAAATGAATTCAGTAAAGTTGCAGGATATGAAATCAATATACAGAAATCTGTTGCGTTTCTATACACTAATAACAAACGTTCAGAAAAGGAAATTAAGAAAATGATCCCATTTACAATTGCATCAAAAACAATAAATTATTAACATATACACATTACTATATATAAAATAGATAATCAACAAGGACCTGCTGTAGAGCACAGGGAACTCTACTCAATACTCTGTGATAACCTATATGGGAAAAGAATCTGAAAACAAATAGATATACGTGTATGTATAACTGAATCACTTTGCTGTACACCTGAAACTAACACAACATTGTAAATCAACTATACCCTAATATAAAATAAAAATTAAAAAGCAAAAAAAACACAAACGAAAAAACAATAAAATACCTAGGAATAAATTTAACCAAGGAGGTGAAAGGCCTGTACACTGAAAACTATAAGGCACTGATGAAAGAAATTGAAAATACAAATAAATGGAAAGATAGTCCAAGCTAATGGATTGGAAGAATATTTTAAATGTCCATACTATCCAAAGTAATCTACAGATTCAATGCAATCCTTAACAAACTTCCAATGGCATTTTTTGCAGAAACAGAACAATCTTAAAATTTGTATGGAACTACAAAAGACCCAAAATAGCCAAAGAAAGAGGAATAAAGCTGGAGGCATCATGCTCCCAAATTTCAAACTATACTACAAAGTAATCACAACAGTATGGTAGTGGCATAAAAAAGGACACACAGATCAATGGAACAGAAGAGAGTGCCCAGAAATAAACCCAAGCGTATATGGTCAATTAACTTACAACAAAGGAGCCAAGAAAATACAATGGGGAAAGGACAGTCTCTTCAATAAATGGTGCTGGGAAAAGTAGACAGCCACATGCAAAAGAATGAAACTAGACCACTATCTTATACCATACACAAAAATTAACTCAAAATGGATTAAAGATGTAAGACCTGAAACCATAAAACTCCTAGAAAAAGACAAAGGTTTATAAGCTCCTTGACGTTGGTCATGGTGATGATTTTTTGGATCTAACTCCAAAGGCAAAGGCAATAAAAGCATAAATAAACGTGGGACTACATCAACTAAAAAGCTTCTGTACAGCAAAGGAAACCACCAACAAAATGAGAAGGCAACCTACTTAATGGGAGAAAATATTTGCAAATCACATATAGGGAACTCATACAACTCAACAGCAAAAAAATAACCTGATTAAAAAACGGGCCGAAGAACTGAATAGACATCTTTCCAAAGAAGAAATACAGATGGCCAACAGGCACATGAAAAGATACTCAACATCACTAATCATCAGGGAAATGCAAATCAAAACCACAATGAGGTATCACCTCACACCTGTTAGAATGACTATTATTAAGAAGACAAGAGGGCTTCCCTGGTGGCGCAGTGGTTGAGAGTCCGCCTGCCGATGCAGGGGACACGGGTTTGTGCCCCCGTCCGGGAAGATCCCACATGCCACGGAGTGGCTAGGCCCGTGAGCTATGGCCACTGAGCCTGCGAGTCCAGAGCCTGTGCTCCGCAACGAGAGAGGCCACAACAGTGAGAGGCCCGTGTACCGCAAAAAAAAAAAACAATAAAAAAGGAAATCTTGCCATTTCTGACAACATGGATGGACCTTAAGTTTTTGAAAGAAGTCAGACAGAGAAAGACAAACACCATATGATCTCATCTGTATGTGGAATCTAATATTTTCTAAAAAACAAACAAAAAAGCAAGCTCACAGATACAGAGAACAGACTGGGGGTTGCCAGAGAGGAAGGGGGGCCTAGGGGTGGTGGGCATGAACAAATTGGGTGAAGGAGTCAAAAGGTACAAAGTTCCAGTCATAAAATAAATAGGGGGCTTCCCTGGTGGCACAGTGGGAAGAGAATCCACCTGCCAATGCAGGGGACACGGGCTCAAGCCCTGGTCCGGGAAGATCCTACGTGCCACAGAGCAACTAAGCCCGTGAACCACAACTACTGAGCCTATGCTCTAGAGCCCGTGAGCCACAACTACTGAAGCCCATGCACCCAGAGCCCATGCTCCACAAGAGAAGCCACCGCAAAGAGAAGCCCGCACACTGCAACAAAGAGTAGCCCCCGCTCGCCACAACTAGAGAAAGCCCACGTGCAGCAACGAAGACCCAACACAGCCAAAAATTAAATAAATTAAATAAATAAATAAATCATGGGGATATAATATACAGAATGGTGACTACAGTTAATAATACTATACTGCATATTTGAAAGCTGCGAAGAGGGTAGGTCTTAAAAATTTTCAACACAAGAAAAAAGTTATTTATGTATGGTGACAGATTTTAACTAGACCTAGTGCAGTGATTATTTTGCAATATATACAAATCCAGATCATTATGTTGCATACCTGAAACTAATATAATGTTGCATGTCAATTATACCTCAATTTTGAAAAATACAATTTGGAAACCACCAGGAATATATTAAAATTGGTTCTCCAAGTTGCAGTCAATAAAGTTTGACACTCTACTAAAAAAATAAAGAACATGACAGGACTTCCCTGGTGGTCCAGTGGCTAAGACTCTGCACTCCCAATGAAGGGGGCCCAGGTTCAATCCCTGGTCAGGGAACTAGATCCCGCATGCATGCCACTACTAAGAGATCATTCCCACGCCGCAACTAAAGATCCCACATGCTGCAACTAAGACCTGGTGCTGCCCAATAAATAAATAAATATTTTAAAAATAATAACAATAAATAAAGAACATGAGACAGTGTGCTTATGCCCTTTGTTTTAAGATTCTAAAAAAACAAACCCACAACTGGAATCTACTTTCAGGCTGTAAAATAAAGTAGGTGGAAAACACAACAAAAAAGAGAACTGGACTTGCCAGAGATTCCAATTTCATTTCAGCTGTACCACTAACTTGACCTTCAGTAAGTCATCTAACTACTGTAGGCCTTGTTTTGTTCATCTCTAAAATGATCAGTTTGGACCAGGTGATAAACGAGATTCATCCAAAGCCAGTTTTCTCTTGGTGAAGCCAACCTAGCAGCAAAACCCTCCCCAGCCCAATTTCCAGCAGTTCCTGGCAGGAGAATATAAAAGACTGAGGATACTTGGGGGTCTGAGGTCTGAGGCCTGGGCAGGTGACTGGCAGTTTTCCACAAGGACATGCCTATGAAAGGGCATTGCCAGAAATGGGCAGTGGACTGCCTCCACTGACCAAGTAAAGGACTACTGTATATTGGGAAATACGGAGATGAAAGGCCTGACCTTCTTTATGAGCTCACAGGTGGTGACAGGGCAGACATGTTTACAGACAATTACAATTATTTTCATTATGTGACAAAGGCTACACACAGGGGAGAACAGGGAGCTGTGGCCTGGCATATACGTATGTAGTTCTAAACCTGTTATCTTACAAAAGCAGGAGACAGAATTTATGCTTTTGTAAGACAGAATAGATGCAGACTTTGTTTTCCCTATCCTTCCTGCTAAGTACAACTGAAAACCCTGGACACTATACATACAACAAACACAAGGAGACTCTGAAAGGTGGAGAGAAGGCGAGTGACTGTCTAGAGACTTCATGACCATAAGAAGGGCACACAGCAAGTTCCCTGGGTTTTCTTTTTGCCTCCTACATCCAACTGGATAATGTAGAAGTGGCAACCAAGAAATGCCAACATGTGTAGACCTTTTTTGGTCTGCCTCAGGAAAGCCTGCTGTCTCTACCCAAAGAGCCTAAGAAGGAAAGGGCCAATCTGGCAAGAGAGACCATTTTCAGGCAGTAACTGCTCCACTCCAGCCAAACAACACAAAAATAGCTGTGGCTATTACTCCCACCAGCAAAGTCAAGTATGGAGAAAGATGCTCTCCCACCCCCATCTCAAACAGTGTCAGAGAAGGCCAAGTGGGAAGCTGGGAACTTCATCCCTACCAGATGGAAACAGGCCACCTCCAGTCCCATACCACAGTGTCAGTGGAGACCATGCAAGGAGCCAGAACTCCCATCTCTGCCCAGAAGAAACAAGGTGCCCCTTCCTGTCCTGCTGGAGTAGGATCAACAGAGACCCAGCAGAGAGCAAGTACTTCCACAACCTCTTATCAATAACCACAGTATCAGTGAAGGCTAGTAGGGAGCAGCAGGGAAAGTCCCTCCAACTCCCAGGCAGGCTGGTGTCAGTAGAGACCTAGAGAAGGGCCTGAATTCCCAGCCCTCTCAGCAGTGACAATGAGCCAGTGTCAACTGGGACCCAGTGGACACCCTGGACTTCCACCGTTACATGAAGGAACAAAGCAGACCCCCTCTTCACCCAGCAGAGGAGCATTAGGAGGAAGTCTGTTAGAATGCAAGACTTAAGTAGATTCAGTCTTACAATATTTAAAATGTCAAGGTTTTGATAAAGAATAATTCATCATACCAAGAACCAGGAAGATCTCAAACTGGATGAGAAAAGACAACAAAAGAGACCAACACCAAGATGACAAAGATGTTGGAATTACCTAGGAAGGATTTTAAAGCAGCTATCATTAAAATATTTCAATTAGTAATTAAGAACATGTTTGAAATTCATAAAAGAAACAGGAAGTCTCCACAAAACCAGAAAAATATCAGGAAAAACTATATAAAGATATATATCAAGAATAAC